GTCTGTTGCCACCACGCTGCTGCTCTCCCACGAAACCTCGTCGCAACGAGAGGCACACATTTATCAGCAGGAACCTCCTTAAATTCCAAGACCTCCTCCACTGCAGTCACCCAATCCAAGAACTCTTCTGGACTTAATCCACCTTGGAACTCAGGAATATCAACCTTGAATCCTGATTCCCAACACCAGTTTTCATCCTAACCACCCTCTCCATCGAACTGGAAGATCTATTGGATGCTCAGGTTGTGCAAACAGATTCTCATCATCAAAATCCTCAACTGGTGGGACCACAGGCATATGATGATGTGGCATGAGTGCAGCGATTTGCTGTGTCAGCAACTCCACTTGGTGATGCAGCTGTGTGATTTCATCACATCTATGTACCTTTTCTACCGGAACTTCACGTACTTCTAGACGTCTCCTTGGTGGCATGGTGAAGGAACGACTTCAACTTTGATACCAAGTGACGTAGCGGAAGATTATAGGAAAGATAAACAACCTCAACAAGATGAGAGAAAACTCACGAAAATTTTATTTTATTCAATAATGTCCTGCCTCAAGGGGCTTACAATACTTTAAATAGTAAAACACTTAACAAAATTTGGAAAATAAGTAATAATTGAAAAAATTATATTTTCCATAAATGGAAAAATTGGAGCTAAAAACTTAAATGAAAACTCCTAAGATTCAGGATCTTCCTCCAACAAACGGAATATGAATCTAAATTTTATTAAATGAAATATTACCAAAATCAAAACTATTATAAACGATAAAAACGCTTAATTGAGGGCCTAAACGATGGAATCTGCCCAAAATCCGACGTATATGATGGCCAAAGGCCATGAGTTGTGATTATTGGCCCGTTTCCAATCAAATTAGACACGTAATTTGCCAAAAATAGACAAACCCGAAGTTATCATGAAATCATTTTTTCCCTTTGCGATCCCACCTCATCATAAACTCTAACTCCTTATGCACTTCATCATTTTCTTGGTTGCAGGGGAATTAGACTGTGAGGAATTGCCAATTGGTTTGTGTTCATTCTCAATAGCATTCTCTGGGAAGCGGTGCCTATTAGAGACATACGCATCAAACGATGGAACCACAGATTTCAAATGTAGGACATCTGAAGTGTTGCAATTAACTTGCACAAGTATATTGAGGCTGATGAATGTGTGAGTGCATGTGGGGTTGATAGAAAATCTGTCGGGATCTCATCAGAGTCCCTTCTCGATTCTCAGTTCACCGACAAGCTATGCTCACCACAATGTTACCAGAAATGTCATAACATTGTTGATCTTTACTACAATTTGGCTCTGGGGGAAGGTGATCTTCACAACCCTCAATTCGTCCACACATACCTAACCTTTCCCCCGACCATCTCATCTAAACACATAAATAGTGAATCAAATTTATTTATTTAAGTATAATCTTCAACACAGCCCCTCTAATTGGCCCATAGAAATTTTTTATTCAAGTATTGACACATAAACAGTTTTCAATAGTGGGACTCAAAAAAGTGAGAGTTTGCATCTGCTAATATGGTATTTGCTAACAATTAACATGAGCATTTTTACCTGATATGTGCAAATCTCAACCAACAAATTCACGCCGTTCAATGGCTCAGATGCAAAGTTCTAGTGTAGCTCTTGGCTCTATAGCTGCTGCTGGTTCTATGTCTACTGTTGCTCATTCTCCATCTTCGCCTGTAGATTGTGTTCAAGCTCCAGTGTAATTATGTCCCTATCTGGTGGTATGCAGTACTGGATAGAAGTAAATAGTATAATGAATAAAATTTTAGTTTTTTTTTTCGTGTCTATTACTATTAAATCTTCTATTTACAGTACATGCCATATATGTTTTATGTAATTTGATTTGATACAGCAGCTGTAATTATGTGTACTATTTATTGCAAGTTAACTACATCTTATTATGTATTATTTTTTCTCTTTCTTTTTTCCTTCAGTTATTTGATCAATACTGTTTATTTTTGAGTTTAAATTTTAAATATGTTTATGATATATTTTGACAAAAATTGAGATTGGGGAACTCAAGTTAGAGGATATTTTACTTGATTTGGTGTTTAATGAGGGACATTGTACTAATCATGGTATAAAAAAATATTTCATTTGAAAATTTCCATTCGTAACCTTTATGATTCGAGCGATTAAGCCTGTAAGGGTTTTTAAACCCTGGTGCAATATGATCATCTTACTTGGGAGCCATCGATCGAAAGCTTGTTACACGGGTCATTTACAAAGTTTAAGGGAGTGAATGCTTCAAATAAAGGAAAAAATTGTTCATAAAAAAAAAATTAGAAAAAGCAGGTGCATGAAACAGAAGACGTACCAAATGCCTTGGTTAAGTTTCAAACACTTGTTTAAGAAAATTAGACCTTTGATAAGAGATTGTTAGCCTAGTTAAGTCCTAGAGATTGAAGCAATCAAACTTAATGGAGAATCCTTGTTTATTGAAATATGAACTGCAATTGGAGAATCCAACATGTCCTCCACTATACTGTTTGTTACGATATCGTACACTTACGATATAAAAAACGCAACATAATGCATGAAATTTTAAGTTTGAAGAAAAACTTGGAGCAGATCTCGAGCTTCTTTAATAATTGAAGCCTGTGATAAGGCTGAATAATGCGAGGCGAGGCGTTTGGAGCAGATGTCAAGGCTCTTTACTAATTGAAACCTGTGATAAGGATGAATAATGCGAGGCGAGACCCTTGGAGCAGATGTCGAGCCTCTTTAATAATTGAAGCCTGTGATAAGACTAAATAATGAGAGGCGAGGCCCTTGGAGTAGATGTCGAGCCTCTTTCATAATTGAAGCCAGTGATAAGGCTGAATAATGCGAGGCGAGGCCCTTGGAGCATATGTCGAGCCTCTTTCATAATTGAAGCCAGTGATAAGGCTGAATAATGCGAGGCGAGGCCCTTGGAGCATATGTAGACGAGGCCCTTGGGGCAAAGGACGAACCTCTTCGATAAGTTGAAGTCTCTGATAAGGTTGAATAATGTGAGCCGAGGCCCTTAGGGCAAAGGGCGAGCCTCCTCAATAAGTTGAAGCATGTGATAAGGCTGAATAATGAAAGGCGAGATCCTTAGAGCAGATGTTGAGCCTCTTTAATAATTGAAGCACGTTGGTCGGTGTGCTCTAATGATTTGAAAGAAAAGTTGGTTCCCAATGACAAACAGCTGGGTGATATGGCGGTTTCCAAAGTTTGTATTACGTGCGCATTAAATGCGCAATGATGATGATGTTTTATAGTTGACGAGGCTTACGTGAATCTAAGGCGCGCATATTTCATGATTTTATCTGAGCCCTTGATTCCAATCTTGGACAAGCGCCTCTTGGTTTCAACCTGGTGGATGAGATTACAGATGTGCGGCCCACATCAAGGCGAGAGAAGATCCAATGGTGGGGGTTCATTCATCCTGCATATATAAAAGGCCAAAAACCTACTTTTCTCCATTTTCTTAACTTTGCAAAAATTAAAAAACTCCAAGTGTTGAAAATCCCTGAACTTTTTCAGTACCTCCGTCGTCCTTTTTCGGCAACCAAAATCGTTTTCACCATCTCCAAGTGTCTTAAACTTGTGTAAGTGCCTAGCAATTTTCGAGTTTTTTCGTCTTATTTGCATTAAATGGCTTCTTATTAAAAAAAGGTGCATTTGGGAGGTTTTCCAAAGTAAATATGACACTGATTTATGCCGAGGCGGGCATACCCCATGTGATTCCCACTAAGAGAATCATGGAGGCCATGGGGGCCCTCATAGTACATGGATGATACCGGAGGGCCCCATAGACCGTAGTATTAGATGGAGGGCCTCCATGCGAGAAACAGACATAAATGAGAGTGAATTGGAGACCTTTAGGGAGAGGTATAGAATCACTGACAACATCGAGATGTTTGTGCCGACCCTTGAGGAAATGGCTTATTTCCCTAGTAAGGGGTGTGTAGCAGTAAGCAATGCTATCTTGGGTGGGGGGATGAAGTTGCCATTACACTCATTCTTTAGGTATATCCTTAGGCACTATAATTTAGCCCCCACCTAATTAGTACCAAATGCATGGAGCCAACTGGCTGGGGCTTTTTTTCTTTGGAAGAAGGTCACGCTTAGCAAGGATATGCCTCCCCACATCTTTCAGACCCTCTTTCAGCCTAGAGCTTTGAGTGGGAGAAGTAATTGCAAGGGGTGGTACTGCATAAACCCCTGGGGCTTGCATTTTCCCTTCATCTTGGGGACTACGACCTCCTTCAAGAACTGGAAATCCTCTTGGTTCTGGATTAGGGGTCGTTGGCAAACAATGGATGGAGATGTGGTCCCGGAGATAATTGTGCCGACCTAGTACCACGAGTATAGTAGGTCTAACTTCAGCTGAATTGCTCTTTTAATTTATGTTCCTAGTTATTTCATTTCTGATTTGTGCTTTGTACAGATGCAGTTGATCGGTTTAAGCTCGAATCGTCCAAGTGGGCCATTATCAAAGTAATCTACGAGCTGCTTTCGGAGATGAGGTGTTTTAAGAACGTGCTCGGGAAGCAGAATCTCTTTGTTACCTATTGGCCGATGGCTACAAAAGGTAGATTATTTCACATCCTTTTACTGACAGCTTGCCTCATTTGGCAGTTCTTCATTTTTGTAGCTCTTCTAATGGTCACAACTTTACTTGTAGGGCAACACGACAAGAAGGAATATGTTAGGCCAGACATGTTCCACATGAGGCGCCTTGGGGATGCTAAGAGTAAGAAGCCCTTGAGTACTGGTTATTCCTCTTACAAAAACCAAAGAGATGAGCTGGCTCACCTTTCCAAGATGAACCCACCACCTCTTCTAGAGAAGAAAGGTGAAAAGGAAAAGGGAAAAGAGAGGGGAAAAAGGGAAAGAGGCAGAGGCTTCTATGGAGAGGCCCCTTAAAAGAAAGTTGGTCCTATCAAAGAACATTGGGCCCCTGATCCTCTCCCCAAGTGCCAAACAACCATTGAGGAGTCACTTCGACGACCCATCCAATTGGAACCCATCTCCTCCATGAATTTAGTGGAGACGGATGAGGTGGCTGAGGAAGGGGTGAGCCTAGTAAGGAAGAAGTGGGGCAAGGAGGTAAAGGGTGCCCCTTCTGAAGGAAAGGCCCAAAATTTCTTGGGTGAGAGGTCTGATGAAATCTCTTCCACAGTAATGGAGATGTTGCCTGTTGAGGTCCAGGGGACTGTGAGGATTCAACATAAGTATGGACTGATAAGTACTCCTCGTACGTCGAGACCTGTGATGCAGTCGACATGGTAGAGGTGGGCTCGCCTTGTAAGATCATTTTCAAGACTTCTTTTTAAATGACGAGGCGACTTTAGGGCCTCAATAAAGAGTATCTTCAAAGGGCCAAAGATGCTGAAGCTACACTGAGTAAAGCTAAGGTTGAGGCATCTTCTACCGATGAGGCCATTGAGGCTTCCAAGTTGAAGCAAGTTGAGGCGAAGTCGAAGGTGGAGGCACTTTCCAAAGAAAGCGATGAATTGAAGAAGGAAACCCACCTCTGCAAAGCCGAGGTAAACGCTTTAACGAAGCGCATGAAAAACTCTGATAATTTTCAAAGGATTGTTTTGTCAGCTTTGGAGGTCACTAATAAGGAAAATGGGAAGCTGAAGGCTCGTGTAGAAGGGTTGACTGCTGAGGTCACCCAGTTGGAGTAGCAGTTGAAGGGGACATGGGAGGCAGCGATGAATGAATACGTCACCCACTTCCACGAAATGGCTGAGTACGATGGCCTTAGCCTATATTGGAGAAGGGTTATGTACAATGAAGTCTTTGAAAGGCTTGCCGAGCTGCATTTCCAGCTGGAATTATCCTCTCTAAATGAAGAATTTCTGACCGATGAGCTGTATACCCTTGCATGAAGAAGAGGACTCAGTAGAGGAGGTGGAGAGGCCTTAGGATGATAATGATGACGTTTAGACTAGGATGATAATGATGCCGTTTAGACTAGGTGGAGAGGCCTTAGGATGATAATGAATTCAATTTTATTTTAAACTTAATTCAACTTTTGCAACCGTTTTCTCTTGGTAGCATTTTTTCATGTTTGTAGCTGATTGACCATGGGCTCATCATAATGAACTAAATTAAATAAAATATGGGCTCGCCATAGCCAACTGAATTAAAAAAATTATGGGCTCGCCATAATCGATTGAATTAAATAATTTATGGGCTCGCTATAATCAACTGAAACTTATGGTCTCACCTTAATCAATTGAATTAAATAACTTATGGGCTCGCCATAATCAATTGAGTTAAATGACTTATGGGCTCGCCATAATCAATTGAGTTATATCACTTATGGGATTGCCATACTTAACATATGAGCTCGTCAAAGTTAGAAAGAGTTGTTGAGATGACATTTGCATTAATAAAAAAATGTACATAAGCAATGATCATAGCCTTACTGATAATATATTCTTAAATGTTCCGAATTCCAGGGGTGGGGCTGCATCTTCCCATCTAGGCTTTCAATTAGGAGGTCCCTAGCCTGACATCGCCTGATATACGGTATGGGCCTCCCAGTTCGGGCCTAATGTGCCAGCGCTAGGTTCTTTGGAAGAAAGAAAAACTCTCCTGAGCACAAGATCGCCTCTTTTGAATGATTTCTTCTTGACATTGGCATTGTAGTTCCTTGCCATTTTCTCTAATAGGAGGCTAGCTTAATCTGTGAAACGTCTCTCCTTTCTTCAAGGAAATC